GGTTTACGACACCAACTGTCTGCCATCTATAATCCAGTTTTGAGATCCCTTCCCAGACGCCTTAACGCCCACTCACATCCTGGGCCATCTAACCTCAGGAAATCACATGATAGGGTGGGGCCAGGTTTCACAATGAGCTCACCCGATACCCTGGCTGATTGTGACCAACACCCGCTTTCACACCTTGGTTCATGTGATTAGGTAGAGGATCATCAGGGGTCCTTTGTCCTTCTTTGGGAGGAAACTCCCACTGGGTTTAAATCTGGGACTCTCCACCTTTTTTTTTTTCCGATCATGGGGCCACCACTCTACCTACTGAGCTATCCCTGCCCCCTTGACTGACTCCCCTGACTCTCCACCTTTTGACCTTAGAACTGAAGAAGCTTCTCGGATGAGAGGTGAAACGTCTTCAAGCAACTTAAAGAAGTCCAGACGCTTTTCTTTCCAAGCTCCTTAGACAGTCCAGGATCAGGAAAACGTCTGATATAAAAAAAGAGTTATATCTAAACTTGTGGCTAGAAAATGGGTGTAGGTGATGGAAGTTCATCTACAAAAGGAAAAAAGAAAAGACAGAAAATGCATTTTTATGGATTCATTTTACACGTGCGGACAAAAATGCCTCCGCTGAAGAAATGGTAAATGGTAAATGGACTAGTTCTTATATATATATAATCTCAATAAAGTAATCCCCTTTCATGCAAACAGTGTTAAATTATAGTACAATAAGCAGCTTTGTGATATAAAATAAGTCCAGTTTTTCCTTTAGTTATTTTGCAAAAAAGAAAGTGTGTGTCACTGTTAGATTGCAGCAATCTGTTTGTTTTATTTATTCTTTTATTTTTTTCAAGGAGTAAGGACAGAGGACCATACAATTTGGACTTCACAATCTTCACAAGCCCTTTAATTACAGTAATTACAGGCACTGTAAGAGCTAGTATCTCTCTAGCAGCTTGGGATTACTTGACCCTTGAACCTTTTCACACTAAAGCTGCTCCACGCTTCCTCACAGGAAGTTTTTATAAAATGAAAGCTTAGCTCCCGACAGCTGATCATCTGCATTTTCACTGCGGTCTAAAGACACTGGAAGATGAGGCAATTTAGTGCACTCTTATCAGAAAAAAAGCAATGTGTGCTCTACATTTGGGAATCTGCTCTGTTCTTGTGTCAGATCTGTGTGTCTGCGGACATTGAGCGCTGTAACCGCACAGGAAGCAGAGAGGCAACAGCAGTCAGATGAAGCTTCAGCCACATTCACACAGAATCTGGTAATGTAGCGTCTTCTGCCGTGGTTACATGGAGGTGGGTGTGTTTGTTTGTGCTTTATAATGTAACCTCTGCTAAGCAAGCAGAAAATAAAGTTTTATTTCAGCCATTCACACCTTTGTTCTCATTAAAGCTCTTGTTTTCCCTTGACTCTCTAGCTCACTTGACCACCATAAATCAACCATGAGGAGGGCAAGTCTGAGTGTTGTGTTTACAAAAAGGAACTTGATTTTTACCCAGAAGATGAGATTGTTGACCATGCGGAAACCTTTGGGACTGAAAAATAAAGGCCAAAAAGTTCTTCTAGTGGCCACCTGAGGTTGGACTCCAAAAGCAGGTTCATGCCCACTGTTTAAATGGATGTTTAAATATCCAACTTTACAGCATCATCTTTACTGCCTAGTGCAAAAAGTGGTTTTGATCAGGCCTTATTGGATGTTAACAACCTCATAGTACCATTTGAACCCAATAGAGCACTTCACTCTCATACTTCTGGTTTACTTTGGTTTCTACAGTATTTAAAAGTAGAATGGGAGGCAGAGCCTTCAGCTTTCAGCTCCCAGTTTGGATTCAGGAGACAGACACTCTCTGTACTTTTAGAATTGGGCTTAAAAATGTTCTTTTTAATAAAACACAGTTAGGGCTCCTGTAGATATCCTGCAACAGGCTTGGGCTTCTTACCACGACGCATTATTTGTTTTTACTTCACTCACTGTTTTTTACTCACTGTGTGTTTATAGTACATTTTTCTTTTAATCATTACTTACTATTAATCTCTGGCTCTCCTCTACAGTGTGTCTTTATCCTATCTTCCCCCCCTCACCCCCAACCATTCATGGAAGATGGCTGCCTTTCCCTGTGTCTGGCTCTGCTGGAGGTTTCTTCTTGTTAAAAGGGAGTTTTTCCTTCCCACTGTCTCCATGTGCTTGCTCATAGGGATTCATCTTATTATTGGGGGTTTCTCTGTATTATTGCAGGGTCTTTACCTTACAATATAAACCACTTTGACACAATTGTTTCTGTGATTTGGCACTATATAAATAAAAATGAATTGAATCTCTATGGACAGTTTTTCTGCTTCAGAAAAAATTTGAAACAGAGTTTATGTTTCAAATTTTGGTGCATGAAATTAAAGACTTATAAAGCCTGTTAATTAATAATCTCTGTCTCTGCACTCATACATCGCATGGATGCAGCTTGCTAACCAAGTGTCTTAGTGTTTATATATTCATAGTCATAATGATATATTGACCACATAATCCAAATACGGTGATTTCTGGTTTGAAAAAAAAGAAAGCTCACATGACAGTGGCAAAAATGCTAATGATTAAAAAAAGAAAAATCCAGCCACAAGCATGAAAGTGGCTGTGTGTATCTTTTATGAAATCCTGAAAACACCACCAGTAGTTTACCACTGAAACGTCGTAAAAATGAAAAAACACTACCCCGAATTAAACTGGGATATTTTTGGTGTAAAAAAAATTAACTGGAACTTTTTCAGACCTGGAAATTTCTCAAGTTTCCAACTGAAGTTGGAGTACATCGGAACTGAACGTCTCCCATACCGTTGTGTTGCTCTGCATGTTATTTCGTGAAGTCAGATTCACCTTTTTGTTACGCATGTTTATTTTCTCCACCCCCCTGATCTGCTTCTAATTCAGTCAGTGTTTCTTCTGCATTTTCCAGAATTACTTTCAACAACTCCCAGAGAACTTGCCTGGCCTTTGGCTTACACTTTTATTTATAGATGCAGCGAGCAATACAGCATACTAATCACAATACTAAGAGCAGAAGCGCGTTTTCCCTCGCTGACTTGCTTCTTCAACTCACAAGAGCAACACAGGGTCTTTTGGAGCTGCTGACAAAATTGGAGATGTGGGCGGCAATACAAAGGTCTATCCTAGTGTTTACCAGTGATGTTTTAGATTGCTGATATTTTTCCACATGAATTAACCTCTTGAACCCAGATATTACCCTCAAATAGTGCCAGTATTATAAAAGCATTTTACTTCAATTTATAGTAGACTACTGTAGAAAAACAGATTTTCTCTGCTATATGGACGCTTTGTTTAAAGGATGCTTCTGTACAAGTTTCTTATATTTGGGGACAATAACCACATGTGATGTGCAACTTTAAATTTCAGTGGAAATATGCTCACATTTGTGAAGTTTTTTTAATACAAAATAAATATTGACATTCAGCATGGTGTATCCCTCTTACACACCCTACAGCCCACAGATGGCAAAAAGACCTTAGTCTAAACTCATTGTCATTCACCATTTCCTCTCTTTCCTTTACTCTCCGCGCTGTCATTAAACAGGGCAGGTGAGTGGCGGCTGATTACCAAACATCTTTTCCTACCTTTGATCTCCTGAGGTGTGGGGCTCTAATCCATCTTGCAGCACAGGAGGCTGTCTGATCTAGGTGGTTGTGGTAGCCACTTAGCTCCTCCTCATCTCACATACACATATAGTATGTGTCCCCGGCTCTTGCAGAGGGTACACACACAAGGAAAAGAAGATGGAGCTGCTACTTACAGGCACTCTGTATGAGAGAAAGGGAGGGGGAGGGGGGGGGAGAGAGAGAAAGAAATATGAGTCAGAGGAGAGAAAGAAAAAAATGAATAGGTTTATTTGAAGCGCATACACACAGACCATAACCAGGTAATCTAAGCCTTTAAATTGCACCGGGCATCAAAAGATGTATACATTTTTGTTTTTTTTGTCCTCCTCAGGATCCTTAAGTAACTACATATTCAAAAGCAACCACATAATGCATTTTAAATCAGGTTTGTGATCAGGTAACTCCCATTGCAGTCCAGATATTAATGCTGAGGACATCCATTTATCTCGCATACAGTAAGTTTGAAATCTGCACAGTTTCAAAGTTCACAGTCCCAATTTGCTGATGGTCTTGTTTTACTGTTTGTCCCTTACTCAGCTAGATCCCCTTCCTCTTTATAAAGCACATCCAACATTTTTCACACTGTCACCGCACATACTTTGAGCAGCTTTGGGAGCTCATCAGCATTCAAAACAACACCTAGCACCCAATATTCCAAGACAATTTTTGCAGTAAATGAGAAAGCAAATGTCACTTCAAGATGAACATTAATCTCACGTCATTGCATTTTAATGGCACCCTTACTCAGGGGGGAATTAAACCTCTCCCCAGAGATCAACCCCAGCGCTTTGCACCACAGTGAAATTGTCGTCTTTTGTTTGCAGATTCAGTACCTGCCATGTCAACTTTCAGCACACACCAACTTACCATGCTGCCGTTGAGTGAACATAAACATCAAGTCATGGAGAGCACTTGCTGAAAGCTACATTTTCTTTGTCATAAGCAGAGCTTGCAGCAGCCCACTGTGGTTGTCAGAGTTCTAAGAAAATGAATTATAAACAATCTGACAGACAGTACTGCATTCAAATGACCTTTGTGCACACTTCTTTTTTTGGCTGCCCACTATAGTGGATCCATTTCCATCTCACCTTATCGTTAGCATCGTCCTCTATCATTCTAACCTTTTGCATGTCCTCTTTCACTACATCCACAAAGTCTTCGTCTTTTTCTCCTTCCTGGCAGCTCCACATCTGACATCCTTTATCCAAAATATCCACTCTCCCTCCTCTGCACATGTTTAGACAATCTCAGCCTTGCCTCTCTAACTTTGTCTCCAAAAGGCTAAACCTGAGCTGTGCCTCTGATACACTTATTTCTAATCTTGTCCATTCTGGTCACTCCCAATGAAATCTGCAGCATCTTTAAACTCTGCCACCTCCACCCCCAGCTCCGCCTCCTCTCTTTTTGTCAGCCAAACCATACATCATAGGTGGTCTCGCTACCATCTCGTAAACCTTCCCTTTCACTCTTGCCGCTATCCTTCAGTCACAAATCACCCCTGATACTCCTCTCCACCCACTCCACCCTACCTGCGCCCTCTTCACAACCTCTCCTGTGCACTGTCTGTTAATTTTGGATGGTTGACCCCCGGTTTTTAAACTCTTCCACCTTCACTTCCTCTGCTCTTGGATCTTCACTGTTAGAAATGCCCTATGTGCTCCCATCTTCCAAAAAATCCTATTATGCAGCCAATAGAAAACAATTTGGTTCTGGTAGTTTGTCTCTTGTAGATTTCATATTTTGCCCATTCCTCAGTAGGAACGCTCTACTATATAACAGATACTGCTACTGTGCAATGATAACAGACACAGAGAGATACTGGGAGCACTGCTACTCCACCAGCTTAGATTTGTCCTGAAAGTCCTCCGGTGGCAAAGCTATTTTACAAAGATGAATCAATTGTTGTGCTCAAAGCGATGTTTCATTCGGCCCGGAAATCCACTTGTCTCTAATTACTTGCAAAAAGTTTGAAAGAATATATGCATCTTATGCATTTAGCTTTAGAGTATTATAGTAGGAGCAGAATAAAAGGTTAGATCAAATGAATATCTGGAGCTCTTGGAGGGGATGTGGGATAAATAGTAATAGGAAAACTTTTGAAGTGCTGACATATGTAAAGTTTCAGCAAAAAGGATATTGTTGCTGAATGTTCCTTCGCCCTGCTCTCCCCTCCAACTCATTTCACTCCCTCTTCCTCCTTTTTTATTTCTGTTCTTTTATCTGCCTTAAAGCTTTAGGCTGCTGTATACAAGCCAAAGGTACAGAATCCATTTCCCACCAAAACACTGCCCAGAGGACTCAAATCTCTATTGTACGACCTGCCCTACATTGAATAAACTGGGCTATTGCTCTCAAATGTCATCATGTGGAGATATTTCACATCATGTACTGTGGACTGTGGAATACACTAAATTAAAACATGAAATAAAGAGAACTATGTTCTGAATGCTTAAAAGTTAAAAAGTACCAGAACTACTAAGAGCTTCCCATCAGTAAATTTGTTTAAAAAATAAAAACATGTGTTTAATTTTATATATTTATCTGACTAAATCCCCTGAGATGTACATGTGTGCAAATAGCTACACCATGACACGTGCATCTAGTATGTTAAAAGAATTAATCCACCCTGTTTTGGTGGAAAAATGTTTGTGAGCGGTATGCTTGTGATGTAGTAAAAACACCCCTGATGAGCAAGCTGCAGGGTGTATTTTAAAATATACACAACCACTGCAGAGCCAAAGCTGCATTATGAAAAGACCTTATGAAATTGTTCTCATGTATCTTGGACCATCTGCACAGCAAGATGATTACCCTTAGGCTTCAGTTTTCCTGCACGTTCTCAACTCTAAATTTGTAAGTCGTAATTGCAAAAACAGTGGGTAGATAAAGCTCGCAGATAAAATGTTCAGAAACATATTGAACATCATAAAAAAACATGCATATTGTTTAATTAGGAAGTTACAAAGTTACTCGACCCATCCCTTTCTATAAGCCCAAACCTAAATGAGCCAAAGGCAAGTCAACACTCCCGTGGTAAAGGTTTATGACAAACATGATCATCTCAGCATATCGTAGCTGTAGAAGAACAAATAGTGGGTGATTTATCAGCACTGAAAAATAAGCCTCATTTTTAGACTGGTCTTTATTTTTACCACAAGAAAAAAAATCTATTTCAGTCATAATAAAATTAGTAATGGCTGAATTTAATTGAGACGCTTATTATTATTAATATTATTATCATTACAAGTAACATCTGTGCTGTTTCTGCAATAGATTTTGCAAAATCAACACTATTTTTCTCCCACCTATTTAGGAAAATCATCATATCTTATGCAAACAAACAAGCAAACAAACTGCTACTTTTATCCCACTCTAACTGCAGTTGCAAGTGTAGTTGCACCCCAAACATGTACTGTACCTATATTGGTGTGTGGATACGTCAGTGCAATTTAAAGTGTACTCATACATTTTATTTATAGCCTGTAAGTCAAAGTCACCAGAAGTTTTTTTTTTAACCTTACCTTCCTCTACAAATGAGAAGCTGTCCAAACTCAACTTGTAAAAAATGCCCTCAAAAGCAGTTTTATGATAATTTACCTTTGAATATGTTTTGAGCATTGCAATAGTACATGACATATGCAGATTGATATTTCACCATGAAATCAATGCAATATGAAAAGGGCAGGAGAGAGGTATGGATTTTTCTGTTTTTGCTTTGGCACGATCATCAATCCCTATAGGTGATCAGGGAAAAGGGGAGAAAAAGGGAAGGATGAGCGAGAGAGCCGCTAAGAGTTGCTGCACTGTACCCGCTACAGTGCAGTAAAGCGACCCACCACTCTGACATTTGTTTTAGCAGAAAACATTGCAGCAACAACTATGATCAAAATTTCTAACCTAACGATTTTAGGACACCCTCATGCAGGTTTGGACACAAAACAGGAACACGTATTCTGAGTGTCTGTATCTGGACTTTTAATGAACTCTTTTTAAGATGTTATAAACATTTTCACTTTGTTGTGCGAACTTTCCCTTCAACCTATAAACTAATGTATATTGGTTTTAATGCTCAAAGGATTGGATGATCAACAGAAAATGACTGTATTAATCACTTGTGTGTAATTTTGCATTGCAAATAACATCAACGTGACCTAATTTTATCTTTGACGATTTGCTCTCAATCTTATTTGATAGCAAATTAACCATCTTTGGGTGTTTCGCCTTTTGCCTAAAAAGAAAAAGAAAATACCAAAGAATAGCTAGAACAAGATAAGACATTGTATTAGTTCCAGCTGTTATTTGACTCTGACCAGAAAAAAAAAGATCATATTAAACTCCTGTAATGCAATAAAGAGCAAAAAAACAAAACAAAACAAGTCAAGGCTTCATAACAACTAGTTAGTGATTCTTGGTGTTTTAAAATGAGCTGAGCTAAATTTCAGTCTGCAAATGCAAAGATAGAAGACTTTCAGAATAAAGGTATCAGTTTATTTGGAAGCAGACACTCATAAGTTTACCACTAGAGAGCACCACTCTGGATGATATATCACAGACTGAATTTAAAGTAGTAAATCGGGAGAATGATGCATCCCCTAAGGCACTTTTTTTGTTTTCTAATGTTTATAACTTTGAGATTCTTGGTCTGCCAGTCAGCTTGTGGTCAGATCTGCCAACTCTGTTCTTAATACTGAACTCTGTAGCTTTGCCTCTAGTTATGAAGGAATATAGCTTCCTATCGGTCTGTGCCATGACCCCAATTGGAGAACCATATTCAATGCAACACACAGGAGAGATGAGAGGCGGCAGGAAGCTGCTCAGGCTGGCTGCCGGGGATAGATAATGCTTTTAGAATTCACGAGCTGTCATCACACCGTCCCCGATACTAACCCATCCCACTCCACTTCCATCAACCCCCAGGTGGCAAAGGGACATTAGGTGAAAAGTTCTACGCAGCGATACCATAAATATGCAGGCATGAAGAAACAAATCCTCACCGTTTTAGCTAACAACCCACACGTTACTGTGTGCTAAATATGGCCCGATTCAGGCAGGCAAACAGATTTCATCAAAACAAAGCCGTAATCCTTCCATTGTTTATTAATCTAGCGGCCAGAACGTTTTTGTCAACATTTTCGGTGACA